TAGTGAGATCAGAGCTGGGTGAATCTCTGTGTAAAAACATTTTGTTTCTTCATGCTATTGCTGGTTGTGACACGACATCCCGGCCATTTGGCCTTGGAAAATCGGCACCTCTTAAGAAATTCACAGATTCAAACTATTTCCGTGAACAAGCATCAGCATTTGAAGTTTTAAACGTCAGCATGAATACGGTTATCCAGAGTGGTGAAAATACCTTGGTCTGCATGTATGGAGGGAAAAAAGGCGAGACTGTTGACAGTTTGCGCCACAGGAAGTACTACGAGAAGGTGTGCACTAAAGGCCGAATGGTAGAGCCCCAAAGTCTTCCCCCAACATCTAGTGCAGCCAAGTATCATTCATTGAGAGTCTTTCTTCAAGTTAAGCAACGGCAGAGTCAAGACGAAGGATTGTTGATTGATGCATTTGGTTGGAAAATGTGTGGTTATGTTATCGTACCCAGAACAACTGATCTTCCAGCAGCTCCTGAAAACTTGCTTAATATGATACGATGCAACTGTACCACAAATTTTTCAACTGCAAGATGTACCTGTCGTAAAAATGGACTTCACTGCACAATGGCATGTGGTCAATGTAGAGGTACTGGTTGCACTAACAGTGGTGTTGATGTTGAAGATGATTAACAAAAGTATGAAATGACAGAAATGTCTTTGTAAATCAAAGTACACTATATCAACCATATGTAAATTTAGTGACACTCTTGTATTACTATGTAACCTAAAGGATTCCTTTTTTTCGGTCGTTGAAGACTTAACATGATTTTTAATAGCCACGCTGCAGATTTATATAATCAAATATGATATTCGTTAGGTCAAAGCAGTGTTATTTTGTAATTCTTGTTTATAGCCTCGTTTTCATGTCATAATTTCACAGAAAACATTATTTTACGAAATTGCCGGCCTCAGATCATGTGGGACTTTTAATATGTTGTTCTGTACATGAAAGGAAAGATATTTTTGAAGAGTGAGCTTTTGTGGGAATTAGTTCAAGGCTCAACCATAAATCTACTGGACTAGATGAACTATTTTAGTTTCGCACCGCTTTCATACAAAACCAGACTTATACGCACACTAATCAACAGAGCATACAAACTGGGCAATACTAACAATGGCTTTTAAAGAGACATAAAAAAACATCACATCCACGCTTTTACGAAACTCTTTCCCACTACACTTTACTAACGGAACCGTAAAACGATTCTCGACAACAAACAATGCGATAACCTCAAACTGGACACCGAAACTCCTGACACGACCGTGACGACCAACACAAATGAAAATTCCAAAATAACAACTCTATACTTCAAACTGCCATACATCGGAAATTACTCACGACACACACAGCGCAGACTTGCGAACATTATGAAAGGCTTCTGTACAGATATAGACAGTCGACTATTTTTCACATCATTTAAAACCAAAAACTTCTTCTCATTCAAAGACCCGAGCCCTGATTCAATTTAACCATTGTGGTGTATAAATTCAATTGCTCGGGATGTAATTCCCGATACATTGGCGAAACTTCGCGCCATTTATCCACCAGATACAGGGAGCATACCACAACTGACAAAAACTCTCATATCTACCTACACCTTCTTAAATCTCACTCATGTAAAACCAACTATTCACCTTTTTGCTTCAAAATCATCGACACTGCAGACACCTCATTCTCCCTGAAAATCAAAGAAGCACTGCACATTAATGAAACTAACCCTGACCACAATGTTCAAATAATTTTAAATGAATAAGACGGGAACAATATAATTGTTCTTAGCAATTTTAAGATGATTTAAAAAGTGGCCCTTGTCAGTGGAATTCACGGTTGCAGTCAAAATTTTCAAAAAGTTGTTAAATGAAATTAAAAGAAGGTGTATGCAAAAATATGCTTAATATTACTAAAGCATAAAAGTTCGTATGTTTTATATATGATATGCATCTTATGTTTGTGTGAATTTTTTTCTTATTATAAAAGCTTACTAACACTCACACTCATTGAGTGCAACACAGGCCTTGAAAAGTTATTAGATGACTTTGTAGCCATGCTCAATAATTGGGATTAGGTGTAAGCTTTTTTACAAACGTTGTAAATGTTACATCCAAATTCTTAACTGATTTATGAACGTTTTTTATCGTAACAGAAGTTAACGAATGTCGGTTTTATCCTTGTGGCTGAGGAGGCAGATACGTTAATACCGTTAGTTCTACGGATATAAGTCTTTATTTTTTTTAAAATATCTGTTGTGATAGCACTTCTATTTTGCTATGGAAAGAGTGCAGCCACCCCTATTTAACATCATTGTCGTAGACTGCAACGAAGCATTGATTGGAGGGACTGGTCTTGAGTGTTTGCGACTGGCTGCCTGTCTTTATTGCCGATGTTGTACGATAGTGGGACACACTATCATACAATATTAGACCTGCGTAGGTTAGGATTGTCAACAGTAGCAAAAACAACGGCCGTTCCATTCATCGCCATTATTTTACCAATTTCGCACTAAGCTTAGTTGCTGAACCATGATTTTCGCTGGGCTTATCGCTTCTGATCTTTTAGAGGCTACCAACATGTACGCACTGCGCGCCTATTTTTACTAATTCGTCGCTAGCGCAACATGCAATATTTCATCCGCGTTTAATGAGTATAGCGTGAATCAGATTGCACTCCTAATAAAATTACGTCATTGGAATTAAGGTGTTGAATAATTTAAACATTAAAAGGAAACTTTTTGTGAGATGTTTATTTTTTGCAATCAGTAATAAATTTTCCTTGTCCCACAATTCATTGTTTTCCTTTCTACAATCTGAATAAAAAACAACGTAACAAAAGAGACATTTTTTTGCAGAAAGCGTTTTTTTTGTAGAAACTGCTTGAATTAATTTAAGAGAACGTTTTTGCATTCAATGGAAATTTAATATTATTAATACGAATTGTAGAAATATCATCATTATTCTAGAAAAATTGCTCAAAACTATAATCTAATGATGTGTAACTATACATATTGCACAATGGGTGTGCCTAAACAACTTAAACTTGACATTATGTTAATAAGACACAAACATACGTAGTACGCCACAATTTATGACTGAAAAATGAAAAATTATGTGCAGGTACTTTGCTTTTATGCATTCAGTGAAAACGAAAAAACACTTTACTGTATGATGATTGTAACTTATGAAAATTTAGGTGGTAAATTTTGCTCTGAAAATGTTTACGGAGGGGGTCACAACATTAATGTGTCTTTTTTGTCCTTATTTTCTGCATTTTTGAGAGAGGAAAGTGAATGAATATGTTGAAATGAACTAAATATGTTAACACATGAGAAACTAAAATCATGTGAAATGGGATGCATAAAGATAATTACCTAAGAAATTAGCTTGGTTTGAATTTGATGTACTTTAGAAAGTTTCATGTTAAGTTAAGTAAAAAAAAATCATCAAAATTTGTGTCCCCGTCTACGTATATAGTTCATGTATAAAGACAACTACCAAAGAAACTTGCCTTGTTTAAATATGATGTATTTAGAAAGTTTCATGTAAGGTTAAAAAGAAAAGGGGTAAAACGTATTATAATAAACTCTAAAATTTGAACAAAAGTTGCATATAGACAATATTCCTTTTTTAGCTTATAGTATCTTATCTTTGATCAGAAATTAACATCTGCAGTGCAAATTTTCCTTTTAGTTTATAGAGACACTTGAAATAGTTGACCAATTTGAATAACGTCAACAAAAACATATTTTTTTTCCCGTGGTGTTTTTATAAGGAATTAAAGTAATTCGTTCTGTTATTTTCAATGTAAATGGTATTTCTTGGAATTGTTGAGACGATATTTTTGTTGCATATTTTTTCTGACACTAAATTTCTGCAATTATGGCTCTTCATCCCAAAGTTAATGAAAACATCATGAAAATTTGTGTCCCCGTCTCCTGAAAAGTACTTGTCTTGTGTTGATGTCAAAAATCAAAAAGCCATTATAACTAGCTCTTTAGGACAAGACAATTTCTGATTCAGTTATATTTTATCTAAGCTGCTGTTTGAGAAAAATAAAAAACAGCTCATCTAATTTCAAAAGAGAAATTTCATTGATAGCCAAATTGCTTCTTCAATGGTAAGTAAAGAAAACATAAAGAAAACCTAAAATTCAGAGCCTATCACATAATTTAAGAACAATAGCTTTTATTGATTAAACTTCCTTATCAGGAACATACATTTCATTTATCAAAGTCATGCTTATACGTAGTCCAACAGATAATCTAACACAATCTTTATGTTATAAAGTACTTAAAGCATTATGAAACATTTTTGTATGTTTTTTAAACATTTTTGGTAGTTTAGAGTAGCGCAGTCATGCATCATATATACATAGCTGCCATATAGTAATTTGACTAATCTAAAATTCTTTAAAAAAAATTTTACCGTTTCGCAAATCTTTTTATTATTTTATATTTATCCTTATGATGAAAACAAAAACAAATTGATTGATCACAACCAACGATAAAGTTCTACTAATTGATTTTTATGAATGTCTGCAAATGTTTTATATCTTATTTTCATTGATACGCCAGAGGAAATAGTAGCTAAATCAAAAATATTTAGAGCAACCATCATTAAGTATTTTTCAACACAGTCTCAAGCTTAAATAGATGAATAGCATCAATTGACAAAACGGCTTAAATAGATAATAATCATCAATCCAAGGGAAACTCCGTAACTATCCAAATTCAATACGTTTTGCGCACCCGCGAAAAGTTAACATGGCGGAAAAACGACCAAAACGTAAGAATTCACCATATTATAGATATTGCTGTTCAAAAGGAATGGAATCATTGTGTATTAAATTAGGCAAATTTTAACTACAATTAAGCTATTATTTATTCTACCTTGATATACAGCGTGTAAAAGAAGAAATCCGAGACTCTGGAGAAAGTTCTGAATGATGGTTTAGCCTTGTTGGCGAAAGAAAAGGATCAAAATGTCGGGGAAAAAGCCTTCTCATTTTCGCTTAGTGCAAGTTGGTTGTAAGAGGTTGACCCACACGCCTTACCGCTGCCGTCAAGGATCAATTAAGCAAAATGGTAATGTTAATATTTAGTATTTATATTAAAATTTACTATCTTCAGTAGTATGTTGAGATTGTTGTTCTTGTTTGCAATTTTATGCTAAATAATATGTAGTATGCATGTGTAACTACATCATGCTATGAAATTTTGTACTTGAAATATTGACTGTACAATTTTGCTGCTTTAAATCATATATGGCTCAAACAATTTTGTCCAGTGTCCTTAGCAGATTTCACTATTTAGTTTCTTATGGGTAAGCAGAAAGACAACTGAGTAAACTGTCATTACATTACCATGCATGGTTGTACCTAAAACTGTTACAGGTCAATGTTGTTTAAGTTAGGTACTGTATAAGAAATTGCATTGTAAATTTATATTAGATAACCAGCAGTATGATAGCTCTGTGGCTGATGACTTTCAAGTAAATGATGAACACAAGCAAACAGACGTTGATATTGGTAAGCATCAATGTATATGTATAATATTAAGTTTAATGTAATAGATTTGTCTAATGATTGCTCATGCTTGAAATGCTTTTGGTAAAACTAATAATTGCATTTGAAATCAATAATTGCAATAATTTGTTGAAATGCATGTATGTAGCTCTATCCACTTTGATATTGAGCACCTTTATTTGAAATTGTCTTAGATCATATACCGTCTCATTTAATCAGAAATTGTCCACAACAAGCTCACTCAGCTAACAATTTTTAATTTCTTTACTGGTGAAATTTTTTATAATATAAGTCATTATTGTTTTGTAGAGCTAGAGAATCTTATATTTGAATGCAGAGGACTTTTGGCTTCAGAGAAAGAGGATGCCAAGAAATGGTCTGATCGCATGGAAGAGCTTCATTCTCTTTGGGAAAATAATAGATCTACCATATTGAAACCTTGATCCAATGTGAATCAGTTGATAAAGGCACACCATGCTTCAATTGTGGGGAATCTCCAGGCTTGATAAAGTGTCATCAGTGTGGTAGTAACTGGCCAGTCTGTGTTGAATGTGATAGGAAAATTCATGAAAGAAAGCCATTCCATGATAGACATGGGTGGATGGGTAATCATTTCAGACCACTTCAGCCATCACATTCATTGGATAAAATGGACAAATAATTGAAGTTGGTATGTCATGTAAATATGGTAAAAGTATGTTAAATGTCATATGCACTATGCTAACTGATGTCAAAATCAACCTACATATGTAGCTACTTATAGGTATATAATTTGGGGTGATATAATTCTATTATTTATACAAAAAGGTTTTATCTCCCAGTCTAATGATGAAAATTTATTATATTTGTTTCTTAGATTGCTATGTTTCTTTGCATCCTGTCCAAAAGTTTTGTCATGGCTGCTCTAGAAAATCAACCTTTCACTCCGTGCCCAGTAAGGACATGCTGACTATTTGTACAACACAAGGTAATGTACAAAGTATTTTATACTTGCAATGTTGAACATGCAAAATTTTGTGTTTGCTCCAATAAAATGTAATCTTATTGAACCGACAACTGTTGACATTAATCTTTAAACATTTTGATTTCCTTCTTCATCAGTGTTGTGAAGGACTACTATATAATTTACTCATTAATTTACTGTAGTATTCTTCTTACATACTGTAATAGTTACATGTATACAGTAAACTGCCATCCTATGTACATAATGTCTTTTTAGTTATCATGTTTATTAATCTTTTTCTATTGTTAGGTCGCTTTGACATAAACAGTACTTCATTCAAGTGTGTTTCTTGTTCAGCATTCTTGATGCCGACACTTGCAGATATTCTTGGTAATGGCTACTGGCCAGCAAATCCAAAGTCTTTAAATGTGTTATTTTCACAGGATTTACTTCTGCTGTGGAACACAATGCAAAAGAGAATGCCAGGTTGTTCTGAGTCCAGTTTTATTAGATCATTGGAAGACATAAGTGTTTCAAAAGGAATGGTGCGTACATAAATACTTTGTGTGTATGCCACATTACTAAGTGTAAACTCTCAGCATTGTACATAGTTTTTTGTGTAAAGCAATTACCATTGTCACTAGTGTTATGGAAAACATCCAAATTCATGAAAAATGTATATGTATGTGTGGCAAAAGTCTACAATTTTTTTCTATGTGATTTCTACTTTCTTTCAATTTTTAGTTTGGATCAATAAATCCACGAACGTTCACAAAAGCCTTTCGAGAATGGCAATATTTTAATTATGAGGTGGAAAAAGCCCAGGGAAAAGAGTGGATGTTTTGTCCTAGTTGCTCATCCAACCAACACTCCTGTCATGTAGATGACAACATGAAGTTATACCGATATAAACATTCAGGAAGGTATTATGTCAAACTCTGCAATTTTTACACATTCTAAGGAGCCTTTCATAATGTAAACTCTTGTTTTCTCTCTTTTATAGAGAACAAAGTCAGTCTTACTATGGAGATCTTTTTATTTCTTCGAATGAACATGTTTCAGCGCATATTAGAAAGGTTTATTCCACTCCCCAAGTTCGGGTAATTTGGAGGTCATGCTTTGCACTGATGTTGAAATGTTTTGTACAGTTCAGTACAATACACCATTACATGAGTAAAGTTCTTTTCATTATAACTCAATACTTACCCTTTTGATAATGATATTTATTCATTATTATTGGTTTTGCATTTTGGCTATTGTATTCATTGTAATAAATAATAAAATCGACAGTTTAGCCTTTTCTGAATCAATATATAAATGTTCGTTTTCCACGATCATGGTTCGAATTTGAATCTTTTGTGTTACAGAACTTTTCTGATGACGGGAAATGTGGTGAAAGTAATTGGCGAGCTGCTGGAAATAAAGGAAAACGAAAGAGTCGTCTAGACGAAACAGGACTGGAAATTGCAGGTTGCCGGCATGCAATTGCTCAGTGGGCTGTAAACATGTTTCGCGGAGAGATTTATGGCTACTCTAATTACATCCATGTTCACAAAATGATTCCAAACAATGTTAAATACATTTGGCAAGATATCATATGTAAATATTGGAAGTGGGCAGTGAAGGCATCAAAGTCGGATGAGTCAAATGCTCACGAAATAAAACCTGCTTTATCTGTGATGCATGCCAAAGCACATAATTGGACATGCCAGGTACACTGGTATCATGTGTTTTTATAATGAATGCTGGCTGTGTACTTATACGTATATCGATGTTCACTCTCAGTATTGTCTACTCAGACATTAATGAATTTCTTATAAACAAGAATTTCCAAACTCGTCTTATTTTAAGGTATTGTGGGAGGACGGTGGCAAAAGGTTCTGCATATTCCACAGGAGAGGAAGTTGAGCAGATTAATAGTTACCTTTCGAGACTGGCCAACACTACAAAGTACATGTTACCCGAGTGTAAGTGTTACTTAAAATAAGTTTATAAAATATGTTTAATTATATTGTAGACTTTATTTGTTGGATAGAACGATTATCCATATAACGTAGCTATCGTCCACGTTGGTCTCAAGTTACTGGAACATTTTTTATGGTTTTCAATTGATGTGTCATGCTATGTATGTGCTTTTTTGACAATTTTAGCAAGAGAAGAACTCATAACTGAACATGCTCTTGCGTGGAATAAACGGAAAATATGTGATCTGTCCAGCTCCTCTGCAAGAGATATGCAAAGGTTGCTTCTCAAAACTATTTTGTACATGCGGCCAAATAACGCTACTAACAGCCGTCATCCTGATAAGTTATTTTCTTTTTAGTATATAGAAGCTCAAGAAAATACAAGGAAAGAACTTGATGAAATGGTTTCTGGCGTAAATCTCTCTCGAACCACGTTGATTTCTTGCAGTGGAAGAGTGAAGTTCAACGTATTGCAAAAGGTAACCGGGTTTTACTTGCTGGCATAATTTAATACGACTGTGCAGTATATCATATTTTTTTTCTGTTTCTGTAGAAATGGAAAGCTCCTTCTTCACGTATTTAGCCGAAGAAGAGGAATTGTACGTTTTGACCTCCTCTTTAACCGATACCTCTTTATTGACATCAAATGTAAACATCTCGTGTGTTGAGACTGAAGACTATCTTTCTGCCCTGTCAAAAAAGATAATTCAAAGATACTCCACCGTTGAGGATAAACGTAAAAGAGTTAAATCACTGACTGCCAAGCTTTGTCGTGATATAACCGCCGATGTACTGCTTGATAGAGGAAAAAAGTTATTTTTGGAAAGTGCCTTGAAGTGTCTTAAGAATGAACTAGAAATGTTGTCTTTTGCCATAGTACAAAGGAAAGCAAGCGTTGTAAAATTGGGAAGTATGTTTTTACATATACACGTATATTACTACATAAGAGGAGTGCATTTGTTAGCAAGAATCCATACTGAAGTCATTGCAAATTTAAGGCAAAAATAGATTGTTTCTTATTTAGTATACTTACCTGTTTCTTTTTGCCTGTAGACTCAGCAAAAGCAAGAACAAAGATAAGACAGAAGATGTCTAGTGATCAGAAAAACATTGACAAAAAAAATGCGCATATTCAACGTATTACAGTTTGTTGTGCATGGTCAAGAAGAAACAGTAAGACTCGACGAGTGTTCTCTGGTTGATGGCATGTTTCCCTGGACTCTCAATGGTGTGTACCTAAAACATATTCTGTAAATTCCAACATGCCTTAAGTAAGAACTTAAAGTTACTTAAACGTAATGTTATAAAACATCTTTATATAGAAATTTCTGTTCGACTGAAATGTAAAATTGTTGACAAGTTCGAACATTTAGAAAGACTGGAGGAGGAGTTAATTCTTATTAAGCAAGAGATGAGTAATTATTTGCGATATTACAAAGATATCGTTATTCCAAAGTTGAAAGCGGAAGTAAAGACATGGAACAAAGTCTAAACTCAGGTATGTATAATGAAAGTCACGTATGTACTGTAAAAGAGTCCATGTGCTCATTTTAAACAAATCATTGTAAGACATAAGCTTTTAGATTTTTGAGCTTCTCAAATTTTCAACACGTTTTGTAGAAAGAGTTTCAGTGAAAGACACTAGGGAATGTTTGTCAAATGAAAGAGTTGAATCTGAGGTATATACATATAATCTTCCGTTAAGCACCACGAATATGTATGGAGAAAATAAACAATAAGTCGTGCGCAACAAACATAATGAAGGAACCTTAGCGTACATAAAATGTTTTTGTGGAAGAAACCAAATGCCATGTAATCTATTATTTTTTTAGAAATCCTTGTATGCTTCTTCGTCTCATAAATCAAGACGTGTTATTTTGGGTGAGATAGCTTTGCGATACAAGGGTATAAACTTTGCAAAGCAACAGCTAGACCTTGGATCCAAGCACTTCTCCTGTATTAACAGTCGCGATGTTTTGGATACTTTAGTTAGCAATGAGAGTGATATTGAAAGCTACAGCGACAATGAAGACGATGATCTTTTTTGATGACAATGGTTCTGATGATAAGATCGATGATTGCTAATGTTGCTAGTGATAAATGACTTGTTATTAAACTTGTATTTGTACTGTATGATAACAGAATCCAGCTACAATGAGTGGGTGCAACCATGAAACCCCTGCCTTAGAGCAGCTAATACGGGTCATAATTATCATTCCGGGGACTGGAAGCATTGTTATCCATTACTGATATGATCTGTTGCAAAAACGGGAAAACGCCATAAATTATCATTTGTAATATTAAAAGTGAAACGTGCATTTTGAAAAGTCCTTAAATATTCTTATTATGATTTTTCTTTTATCTCAACATTGCGCGAGGTTACACGTTTGTTTTGGTCTAGTGTTATCTTTTATTGTTGATTTTTTGAAACGTTCTATTCTTGTTACATAAATCAGTTGTAAAACCATGGTGTAAAATTAAAGTGCAATTTTTTCCTCGTTGTATTGAGCTGTTAGTGCTTTACGGTTGGGTTTGTGGGAGTGGGTAAAGATATAGAACATTAAAGCTGAAAAGTTGGGTAGTAGATTTTCAAATACAATACACCTTACACAGTATACACACTATACGCTATATTTGTATAGGCATATACATTATACCTTTATAGTGCGTATAGTGTGTATAAGTGTGTATAATTATTGTATAATGTATTATAATGTCTATAGTGTGTATAGGTATGTGTGTATGATGTATTGTATAGTGCGTATAATTAGACTTACTGTGTAAGGTGTATTGTATTTGAAAATCTACTACCCAACTTTTCAGCTTTAATGTTCTATATCTTTACCCACTCCCCACAAACCCAACCGTAAAGCACTAACAGCTCAATACAACGAGGAAAAATTGCACTTTAATTTTACACCATGGTTTTTACAACTGATTTATGTGTAACAAGAATAGAACGTTTCAAAAAAAAAATCAACAATAAAAGATAACACTAGACCAAAACAAACGTGTAACCTCGCGCAATGTTGAGATAAAAGAAAAAATCATAATAAGAATATTTAAGGACTTTTCAAAATGCACGTTTCACTTTTAATATTACAAATGATAATTTATGGCGTTTTTTTTGCAACAGATCATATCAGTAATGGATAACAATGCTTCCAGTCCCCCGGGAATGATAATTATGACCCGTATTAGCTGCTCTAAGGCAGGGGTTTCATGGTTGCACCCACTCATTGTAGCTGGATTCTGTTATCATACAGTACAAATACAAGTTTAATAACAAGTCATTTATCACTAGCAACATTAGCAATCATCGATCTTATCATCAGAACCATTGTCATCAAAAAGATCATCGTCTTCATTGTCGCTGTAGCTTTCAATATCACTCTCATTGCTAACTAAAGTATCCAAAACATCGCGACTGTTAATACAGGAGAAGTGCTTGGATCCAAGGTCTAGCTGTTGCTTTGCAAAGTTTATACCCTTGTATCGCAAAGCTATCTCACCCAAAATAACACGTCTTGATTTATGAGACGAAGAAGCATACAAGGATTTCTAAAAAAATAATAGATTACATGGCATTTGGTTTCTTCCACAAAAACATTTTATGTACGCTAAGGTTCCTTCATTATGTTTGTTGCGCACGACTTATTGTTTATTTTCTCCATACATATTCGTGGTGCTTAACGGAAGATTATATGTATATACCTCAGATTCAACTCTTTCATTTGACAAACATTCCCTAGTGTCTTTCACTGAAACTCTTTCTACAAAACGTGTTGAAAATTTGAGAAGCTCAAAAAAATCTAAAAAGCTTATGTCTTACAATGATTTGTTTAAAATGAGCACATGGACTCTTTTACAGTACATACGTGACTTTCATTATACATACCTGAGTTTAGACTTTGTTCCATGTCTTTTACTTCCGCTTTCAACTTTGGAATAACGATATCTTTGTAATATCGCAAATAATTACTCATCTCTTGCTTAATAAGAATTAACTCCTCCTCCAGTCTTTCTAAATGTTCGAACTTGTCAACAATTTTACATTTCAGTCGAACAGAAATTTCTATATAAAGATGTTTTATAACATTACGTTTAAGTAACTTTAAGTTCTTACTTAAGGCATGTTGGAATTTACAGAATATGTTTTAGGTACACACCATTGAGAGTCCAGGGAAACATGCCATCAACCAGAGAACACTCGTCGAGTCTTACTGTTTCTTCTTGACCATGCACAACAAACTGTAATACGTTGAATATGCGCATTTTTTTGTCAATGTTTTTCTGATCACTAGACATCTTCTGTCTTATCTTTGTTCTTGCTTTTGCTGAGTCTACAGGCAAAAGAAACAGGTAAGTATACTAAATAAGAAACAATCTATTTTTGCCTTAAATTTGCAATGACTTCAGTATGGATTCTTGCTAACAAATGCACTCCTCTTATGTAGTAATATACGTGTATATGTAAAACATACTTCCCAATTTTACAACGCTTGCTTTCCTTTGTACTATGGCAAAGACAACATTTCTAGTTCATTCTTAAGACACTTCAAGGCACTTTCCAAAATAACTTTTTCCTCTATCAAGCAGTACATCGGCGGTTATATCACGACAAAGCTTGGCAGTCAGTGATTTAACTCTTTACGTTTATCCTCAACGGTGGAGTATCTTTGAATTATCTTTTTTGACAGGGCAGAAAGATAGTCTTCAGTCTCAACACACGAGATGTTTACATTTGATGTCAATAAAGAGGTATCGGTTAAAGAGGAGGTCAAAACGTACAATTCCTCTTCTTCGGCTAAATACGTGAAGAAGGAGCTTTCCATTTCTACAGAAACAGAAAAAAATATGATATACTGCACAGTCGTATTAAATTATGCCAGCAAGTAAAACCCGGTTACCTTTTGCAATACGTTGAACTTCACTCTTCCACTGCAAGAAATCAACGTGGTTCGGAGAGATTTACGCCAGAAACCATTTCATCAAGTTCTTTCCTTGTATTTTCTTGAGCTTCTATATACTAAAAAGAAAATAACTTATCAGGATGACGGCTGTTAGTAGCGTTATTTGGCCGCATGTACAAAATAGTTTTTGAGAAGCAACCTTTGCATATCTCTTGCAGAGGGAGCTGGACAGATCACATATTTTCCGTTTATTCCACGCAAGAGCATGTTCAGTTATGAGTTCTTCTCTTGCTAAAATTGTCAAAAAAGCACATACATAGCATGACACATCAATTGAAAACCATAAAAAATGTTCCAGTAACTTGAGACCAACGTGGACGATAGCTACGTTATATGGATAATCGTTCTATCCAACAAATAAAGTCTACAATATAATTAAACATATTTTATAAACTTATTTTAAGTAACACTTACACTCGGGTAACATGTACTTTGTAGTGTTGGCCAGTCTCGAAAGGTAACTATTAATCTGCTCAACTTCCTCTCCTGTGGAATATGCAGAACCTTTTTTGCCACCGTCCTCCCCACAATACCTTAAAATAAGACGAGTTTGGAAATTCTTGTTTATAAGAAATTCATTAATGTCTGAGTAGACAATACTGAGAGTGAACATCGATATACGTATAAGTACACAGCCAGCATTCATTATAAAAAAACACATGATACCAGTGTACCTGGCATGTCCAATTATGTGCTTTGGCATGCATCACAGATAAAGCAGGTTTTATTTCGTGAGCATTTGACTCATCCGACTTTGATGCCTTCACTGCCCACTTCCAATATTTACATATGATATCTTGCCAAATGTATTTAACATTGTTTGGAATCATTTTGTGAACATGGATGTAATTAGAGTAGCCATAAATCTCTCCGCGAAACATGTTTACAGCCCACTGAGCAATTGCATGCCGGCAACCTGCAATTTCCAGTCCTGTTTCGTCTAGACGACTCTTTCGTTTTCCTTTATTTCCAGCAGCTCGCCAATTACTTTCACCACATTTCCCGTCATCAGAAAAGTTCTGTAACACAAAAGATTCAAATTCGAACCATGATCGTGGAAAAACGAACATTTATATATTGATTCAGAAAAGGCTAAACTGTCGATTTTATTATTTATTACAATGAATACAATAGCCAAAATGCAAAACCAATAATAATGAATAAATATCATTATCAAAAGGGTAAGTATTGAGTTATAATGAAAAGAACTTTACTCATGTAATGGTGTATTGTACTGAACTGTACAAAACATTTCAACATCAGTGCAAAGCATGACCTCCAAATTACCCGAACTTGGGGAGTGGAATAAACCTTTCTAATATGCTCTGAAACATGTTCATTCGAAGAAATAAAAAGATCTCCATAGTAAGACTGACTTTGTTCTCTATAAAAGAGAGAAAACAAGAGTTTACATTATGAAAGGCTCCTTAGAATGTGTAAAAATTACAGAGTTTGACATAATACCTTCCTGAATGTTTATATCGGTATAACTTCATGTTGCCATCTACATGACAGGAGTGTTGGTTGGATGAGCAACTAGGACAAAACATCCACTCTTTTCCCTGGGCTTTTTCCACCTCATAATTAAAATATTTCCATTCTCGAAAGGCTTTTGTGAACGTTCGTGGATTTATTGATCCAAACTAAAAATTGAAAGAAAGTAGAAATCACATAGAAAAAAATTGTAGACTTTTGCCACACATACATATACATTTTTTCATGAATTTGGATGTTTTCCATAACACTAGTGACAATGGTAATTGCTTTACACAAAAAACTATGTACAATGCTGAGAGTTTACACTTAGTAATGTGGCATACACACAAAGTATTTATGTACGCACCCTTCCTTTTGAAACACTTATGTCTTCCAATGATCTAATAAAACTGGACTCAGAACAACCTGGCATTCTCTTTTGCATTGTGTTCCACAGCAGAAGTAAATCCTGTGAAAATAACACATTTAAAGACTTTGGATTTGCTGGCCAGTAGCCATTACCAAGAATATCTGCAAGTGTCGGCATCAAGAATGCTGAACAAGAAACACACTTGAATGATGTACTGTTTATGTCAAAGCGACCTAACAATAGAAAAAGATTAATAAACATGATAACTAAAAAGACATTATGTACATAGGATGGCAGTTTACTGTATACATGTAACTATTACAGTATGTAAGAAGAATACTACAGTAAATTAATGAGTAAATTATATAGTAGTCCTTCACAACACTGATGAAGAAGGAAAAATGTTTAAAGATTAATGTCAACAGTTGTCGGTTCAATAAGATTACATTTTATTGGAGCAAACACAAAATTTTGCATGTTCAACATTGCAAGTATAAAATACTTTGTACATTACCTTGTGTTGTACAAATAGTCAGCATGTCCTTACTGGGCACGGAGTGAAAGGTTGATTTTCTAGAGCAGCCATGACAAAACTTTTGGACAGGATGCAAAGAAACATAGCAATCTAAGAAACAAATATAATAAATTTTCATCATTAGACTGGGAGATAAAACCTTTTTGTATAAATAATAGAATTATATCACCCCAAATTATATACCTATAAGTAGCTACATATGTAGGTTGATTTTGACATCAGTTAGCATAGTGCATATGACATTTAACATACTTTTACCATATTTACATGACATACCAACTTCAATTATTTGTCCATTTTATCCAATGAATGTGATGGCTGAAGTGGTCTGAAATGATTACCCATCCACCCATGTCTATCATGGAATGGCTTTCTTTCATGAATTTTCCTATCACATTCAACACAGACTGGCCAGTTACTACCACACTGATGACACTTTATCAAGCCTGGAGATTCCCCACAATTGAAGCATGGTGTGCCTTTATCAACTGATTCACATTGGATCAAGGTTTCAATATGGTAGATCTATTATTTTCCCAAAGAGAATGAAGCTCTTCCATGCGATCAGACCATTTCTTGGCATCCTCTTTCTCTGAAGCCAAAAGTCCTCTGCATTCAAATATAAGATTCTCTAGCTCTACAAAACAATAATGACTTATATTATAAAAATTTAACCAGTAAAGAAATTAAAATTGTTAGCTGAGTGAGCTTGTTGTGGACAATTTCTGATTAAATGAGACGGTATATGATCTAAGACAATTTCAAATAAAGGTGCTCAATATCAAAGTGGATAGAGCTACATACATGCATTTCAACAAATTATTGCAATTATTGATTTCAAATGCAATTATTAGTTTTACCAAAAGCATTTCAAGCATGAGCAATCATTAGACAAATCTATTACATTTAACTTAATATTATACATATACATTGATGCTTACCAATATCAACGTCTGTTTGCTTGTGCTCATCATTTACTTGAAAGTCATCAGCCACAGAGCTATCATACTGCTGGTTATCTAATATAAATTTACAATGCAATTTCTTATACAGTACCTAACTTAAACAACATTGACCTGTAACAGTTTTAGGTACAACCATGCATGGTAATGTAATGACAGTTTACTCAGTTGTCTTTCTGCTTACCCATAAGAAACTAAATAGTCAAATCTGCTAAGGACACTGGACAAAATTGTTTGAGCCATATATGATTTAAAGCAGCAAAATTGTACAGTCAATATTTCAAGTACAAAATTTCATAGCATGATGTAGTTACACATGCATACTACATATTATTTAGCATAAAATTGCAAACAAGAACAACAATCTCAACATACTACTGAAGATAGTAAATTTTAATATAAATACTAAATATTAACATTACCATTTTGCTTAATTGATCCTTGACGGCAGCGGTAAGGCGTGTGGGTCAACCTCTTACAACCAACTTGCACTAAGCGAAAATGAGAAGGCTTTTTCCCCCGACATTTTGATCCTTTTTCTTTCGCCAACAAGGCTAAACCATCATTCAGAACTTTCTCCAGAGTCTCGGATTTCTTCTTTTACACGCTGTATATCAAGGTAGAATAAATAATAGCTTAATTGTAGTTAAAATTTGCCTAATTTAATACACAATGATTCCATTCCTTTGAACAGCAATATCTATAATATGGTGAATTCTTACGTTTTGGTCGTTTTTCCGCCATGTTAACTTTTCGCGGGTGCGCAAAACGTATTGAATTTGGATAGTTACGGAGTTTCCCTTGGATTGATGATTATTATCTATTTAAGCCGTTTTGTCAATTGATGCTATTCATCTATTTAAGCTTGAGACTGTGTTGGTATTTTTAAGTCATTTTAAAGAGGAAAAATGCATGCAGAGCAAATGATACATATCTCGTCTCTTGTTTGTTCTGCTACAATTGTTCAATATTGCAGAATATTTTTGACAGATTAAGAACGCCTTTTAATTGTCTGAAATAAAATATTTGAAGAAGTAAAAACTTTTTAGTACTGAAAAGTTGCATTCTTCAATTTATTCTTTAGACGTTTTTCTCTTTAGCAGTTCTGTCAAAATGCTCATAAATTCCATTCAATTCAGAATTTATATAATTATGGGAGCCGAACTTCTTTCTACGACTGACAGATGTTGCAAAACAAAATATAATGCATTGCTTAACGGCCTCCCTTTCTGTAACTAGACGACATGTAGTTACAGAGAAGCCAGTGAGTCTGTTAAACACTAAGCAACAGACTATTTTGCACTCAGTTTGGTTGGCTTAATTCCTATTCATCTGGTAAACTAAATTAACATGAAGAAATTCGAAATTAACCTATTTTAAATTTTTTCTAAACTGCTCTTGGTGAATTTCATACTTTGCGTCATTTCCTTACAGTGGACATTGAAATGTATTATTTCTGTCTATGCTTTCGTTTCCTAGAAACCTCCCTTCTATTTATTTAAAACAAGTTCTACGCTGGTGAACTCTACTTATATAAATTGTTGTGAACAAGTGTCATTATAATGAACAATTTGTCTGATCTATTGCAACAATATTTAATCATCATGAATTTTCTGAAAGCAAACGTGAAAATCCTTTTTGGAGAAGGAAGCTAAAATGTTATATCACTATAAAAATCAATACTTGATTTATACAAAAAAAGGTTAAGAACAAACTGATTATATGATTGTATAGATGATTAGCCTTTTATAAAATAAAGTGCATGTTTCTACTACGAAAGCTTTGAAGAAATTAATAATAGTCTACCTTCTAACAAATAGAAAACAAAGATGATACCAAGCTCAACAAAAGCGTTTCTTGGGACTCTTATAATCCTGTCTATTAGTGTGCATATAATAAATAGTAATGATGACATATCAATCTGCAAGAAAAGCTTAGAGGCAATAAAATATAACGTAAAAGAATGGATGGAAACCTGCGTTGATAAAAATGGCAATGACGATAACACAACTGCGTGCAAGGAAGTAAAACAGTATAACAAAGAAATGATGCAAATGCAAACAGAGATGTGTTTTTACAAAGGTATAATCTTTAGATTTGACTAATTTCCATAGTTTCTTGTTCATAGCACTAAAAATAAGGTGCAATGTGCAATAATAATAGGTAGAAGTTATGCAGCCAATCTAATTTCAGTTAGTAGTAATATTTCTACAATGAAAAACTCTATCTAAAAACACTATTTCTACTTCTCACCCAATATTAGGATCCTAAAGTCTATAAAAGTTTGCATTCTTCTATTCCACTTGCATCGTTGTTATTTATTTATTTTTTATTATTTGTGTAGGTGTTTATCCAAAGCCATATTTTATTATTTTGAGCTTTGATCAAATATTTTCTTTTGATTCTATTACTGGAGATATTCATGTCAGCACCATTAATGGCTCCATAAATAGTAGTTTTGACCATGCATCAAGGTATAATGACATTGAGATTGATGTAATTGAGAATATGTTTTACTACATTAATGATAAGGACATTGGACGGGCAAATTTTGACTTAACTGGAAACGAAATTTTTGCGGAAAATGTTTGCGTTCATGATATGGCAGTTGACTGGATTGGTCGTCGTATCATTTACGTTAACTCCACGAATATTATCTACCAAATTTATCTGAATAAAATAAATACGAGTGCTATGAGGCTTCAACCAGGCTTACAATTCTCTTGCATTGCATTTGACTCAAAACATGGGTAAGGCAATTTTAAACTTTTTCTTGTTAATTTGCAAACGAATCAAGCTATTTGAGATTCATTTTTGGTGTTTTTACTGTTAGATTAACCAAACAGAACTGAAACACAGTGTGATAGTTGTATGATCATCTTAATATTTTTTGCTTTTTTTTGTGCACACTGTAGCTCTATCAACAATAAAACACCCTTGATAATATTAATTGTTAAAAATTCAAACTAAATCTTTCAAAAGATTAAGGGTTTTGTTTTGTCACTTTTCGATTGCAGGTCGTCTATCTCAAGGAGATAATCCATTTGAAGATTTTTAATAGTATAAAATAAATTTTCTTGTTTCCGTCTCAAATATTGAGTTACACATGAACTTTTTAATCGGAGTAGGTATCATATTGTACCACATAAATATATCAAATGGTAATGGTCTTGTTAACTGTTAAAATATTTTATATGAACATGCTCATAGTAGCTAATTCAGTTGTTCATATGCTAAACAAAATTTTTTTATCGTGTTAAAATTTCAAACTAGTCTTGTACCTGTAAACAAACAAAGTCTATTTGTCAAAATGTCATCAAAGCAAATTATGTTTTGGTCAATGAATGAATAATTTACAAAATGAATTTACCTTACTGCAATTCATACATATTTCAATCTGCTTATTTTTCGTTTGTTTTAGTAGTTAAAAACACTGTAGGAATAAACATATTTTTCAGGTATCTCTTCTTGGCGGAAGATACAGAACGTGTCATTTGGATATGGAACATTGCCAAACATAAACATTGCATTTTGTCAGTTCCTCTTAAGTCAAAAGCAAATGATCTAACAATTGACATGGATAAAAGAAATTTTATTGGCATTTTCTAATGGGAGAGTGTTTTCTAGTGATTACAAAGCACAAAATTTGATTGGCTTTGGAATATTAGGAGGTCCCATGGTAATATTTGAGAATTTTCTTTACTTCTTAAATAGTAAGAAAGAAAGCATCGTAAGTGTCCATAACACAACTGATCAACGTAAGAATTGTAAATTTTTCTTTCCTACTGGCAATGGTCGTTATAGTTTGGCAGTAATACATAGCATTACCGCAAGACTAAACGGTAAGCTACAACACGATCAATTATTTCCATGAATCAATCAATCAATGCATAAATCAATCGGTCAATCAATCAATTTGCTAAAACTCTCACATTCAAGTACCTAAAATAGATGATAAAAAATTGAAAAGTGCAGGATCGAAAATTGTTCTGTGTTATACACAGCAAAAACAATATATTTGTAAAGAAATTGATAATGACACTGTTAAGAATGATACTTGCAAGAAAGCACGGTTAATGCACAAGTAAATAAAATAAGCCATTTAAAGAACAAGTGACAAAAGACATTCAAGTCCAAGGTGATGTAGTTTATTATAGTAGCAATTACGAATCGTCTTCCTCAGACTTGCAAAAATATACACAAATCTTTTGTTTTTGGTTACATACTGAGGTTGATACTATCTTTTGATTGAAGTATATAGTAAATTTAAAAGCCATGATTAAATATTACTTTTCATTCATCTATAGCGACAAACACTTTTCTATTTCCTTTGTGTAGACCAAACACATACTATACTAAAATTAATGGAACCTTGAAATGCACATGTATAAAAGGATATTCAGGAGAATGTAACTCATGCAATGGTATGGATTTATTACAATTATTAACTACAACTTTCACTAACGGTTCTGGAGAAAAAATCATCTACGTGCAGTTTTAAATTTTTGACATAGTAGAGATGTTACTCATGTTACTCTTCATTGGTTTGACAGTACTGTGCACTTTCAAAAATATGCATTAAAACATCATGAATTTTTTATAGCTTGGCTTCATTAAAGTATGAAGTATGTAAATTCAAACTTTAAATATATTTTGACAGGCATCACTTTAGGCATTCTAAAACCTTTATAAATGAACATTCCTCCACAATATTACATAAAGTGTACACCAGTTACAACACTAATTTTTTTATTTCAGTTTGATGAAAAATTCTGTAATATAAAAATGTTAAAATTAATATTTCTATGTTTAACAAAATATTTATTCTATTTTAAAAGATTATTCTTCAAACAGATCCATGTTATTGATTTTTCAATCGTTTAGCAAGCTGTCCTTCTGGTTGGTATGATATAGAATCATCTTGCTATTTCTTCAGTAAAAAAAAAGCAAATGGGCATCAAGCTAGAAAACTTTGTCAACAGAAGGGAGGATATCTTGCTGTTCCAAAGAACAAGGCTGAGAATAATGCCCTTTCAAGAATTATGATAAGACTACGCCATACAGCTGACTTTCTTGGTTTTTTTCGTAAGAAAAGCGACAATAAATTCTACACAGTTCAAAATGTCAAGCCCACTTTCACATTATGGCATAATGGAGAACCTAGTAACAAAAGATTTGGCGTAGAAGATTGTGTTGCAATTCATAGCAGACTTTTTAACTTCCGGTGGAATGACGCTACATGTGGGTATCACTTCAATTTCATCTGTCAACGCAAGAGACCTAATTTAAACTGTGAGTACTACTGTCATTACTACATTATATACTTTATATACATTTATTATTTTGTGGTTAACTGCCGGCATAATACAGGATTATTATTTTTATAATAATATACATGGAAAAATTTCTCAATTCTAATCGGTTAAGAGCAGTGCAATTCATAGTAAATACCAATGCAAAAATAGGAAACACTGGTGCAAAACTGGAAGCACTGGTCTTATGTTGGGCTATTATGTTCATATTGAAAATTCGCTTTCGGCCTGGCAAATCTCTGGCCACGATTTTAAATAAAAGCTATAATTTTTTTCTATAACTCAAATTTTAAAACAATTTGTGGTAAAATATTAGATATCGGAGGATGTCAGTCTTTTCCTTGTGGCAAAAAACACTCATGTATGAATATCCCGGGCTCCTACGAATGCCTATGCTCCATTGGATATCAACCTGACAAATCTAAAACGAAATGTATCGGTAAGTTGTTGTATCTAGATCTTATCAGATCACTGCACATGAAAAGTGTAAAGTATTCAAAAAACGGTTTGACAGTACTGTGCACTTCAAATACATGCATTAGAACATCACGACTTAATGTAATTTAGTTTCATTAAAGTAAGAATTGTGCAAATTGAATTTTTAAAAGTATTCTGAAAGGCATCACTGTAGACGTTCTAAAAACTTTATGAATGAGCACTCTTTCACAATATTACGTCAAGTCTCCCCCAGTTTCAACACTAACTTTTTATTTCAGCTTAATAAAAATTCTGTGATACAAAAATGTTAAAATTGATATCTCTATGTTTAACAAAATATTTATTCCATTTTTAAAAATCATTCATCAAAGAGGTCCATGTTATTGATACTACTGAATTTTTTATTCGTTTAGCAAGCTGTCCTTCTGGTTGGTATAATTTAGAATCATCTTGCTATTTCTTCAGTAAAAAAAAAGCAAATGGGCATCAAGCTAGAAAACTTTGTCAACAGAAGGGAGGATATCTTGCTGTTCCAAAGAACAAGGCTGAGAATAATGCCCTTTCAAGAATTATGATAAGACTACGCCATACAGCTGACTTTCTTGGGTTTTTTCGTAAGAAAAGCGACAATAAATTCTACACAGCTCAAAATGTCAAGCCCACTTTCACATTATGGCATTATGGAGAACCTAGTAACAAAAGATTTGGCGTAGAAGATTGTGTTGCAATTCATTGCAGACAATTTGACTTCAGGTTGAATGACGCTACATGTGGGTATCACTTCAATTTCATCTGTCAACGCAAGAGACCTAATTTAAACTGTGAGTACTACAGTCATTACTACATTAGATACTTTATATACATCTATTATTTTGTGGTAGTCTGCTGGCATCATATAGGATTAATATTTTTATAATGATATAGATGAAAAAATTTCTTAATTCTAATTGGTTAAGAGCAGTGCAATTTATAGTAAATACTAGTGCGAAAAGGGGAAACACTGGTGCAAAAATGCTTAACACCAGTGAAATTTAATTTTGAAAAATGCACTCCTGACTGATTTGTCAAACAAGGAATTGGTCTAAGAGCCAATGATAATAAAACACTTCAAAGATGGGAACGTTACATGTAAACAAAGCAATTACAATGTTGTTGTATATCGTTAGTATTTCTAACTCCACAACTAACACTAACGATATACAACAACCTGACAATAAACGTTATTTCAAACTACCT